GGGAGCCAGATCCTACAGGTAGACTTGAATAAGGCCCTGGAAGCCTAAAAGGTGAAAGAGAGCCCCAAGAATGAGAATTTCATTTCCCAGTGAGTCCCGGGCAACCATTCAAGGTTGTTCCTTTAAACACATGTGAAAGAGGTAGTACCCACCTTGACAGTCACATGGATAGCGTCCTGTATGACACATGCCTGCTGGTGTGGGAAATGTACCAATTCACCTTTAGTTAGAGCCAGGTCTTCCCTTGCTAAAGGCAGGGACAGGCTTCCTGAGCAACATCTAGTGTGGTACAGTCTTGGTTAGTAAAGTGAGGGTAGAAGTTGAAGAGGTCCAAGCATACTGACATTTTTAGCATGTTCATGGGGACAGAGTACGTGAGACAGGGACAGCTTGCCCTGATGGAGATTGGTTTTGGGGGTGACCATCCATATTCAAGACATAGAGCTGGTCCCATAATCTTAAGGCTTTTTCTAAGCCTTCCAGCAGTTCCTCAAAAACTTGCCCTGTCAATTCCTCAGGTGGTGCCACCAATCTTACCCTGGAGTCTTTGGACTTTTACTGGGGTCTCCTACAAATACATCTCTCTAGGGTTTATAGGGCCAATGTAAATGTAATCTGTGACTTCTAACAGATCAGATTCAAGTCCACCCCCATTTCAACTGTGTGAGGATGAAGAGATTTCCCTTACCTTCCTCTGCAGGGCCAATGCTGTTATCTCCCTCTCTGGATTAGTAAGGATGAAATAGATTGTCAAAACTAGAATGGGGGAAAAATTATAACAGCTCCCTCTAAAGCAACCCTGTTTTTCACTTTTTGCTTTGAAACATACATGTGTGAGCCCTGATGTGACTAGAAAGTTGCCCATGTCAGAGGCCATTCAATGTATATAAGTGGCTGGAATTCTGACCGACTGTCTGTCCTTAAGATATGTGGACATGTGAAACAGACACTCCCTGGAAATTGCAGACATTAGAGAGTGAATAGTTAGAGTGAAGGAGGAGTTTGTCTATTTGGGAGTAAAAATTAGGCAGTATATTATTTAGTGTATTATTAAGGGTCCTGATGTCACTTTTCAAAACTTTGGATTCAAAATACTGTCATTCCACTCAGAAATGATGGAAACTCAGCTGTGGATTCATGCCTCAAAATTCTCTGTGATCATTCACCTGGAAATTTTCTTATCATTTAAGCTTTTAGGGGGGTGAAAAAATGTTGTTGGTGTCATCATTTCACTCTTTTGAATTGGTCAGATATTTTCTTTTTTTGTTTATTGGGCCACATGAGCTGTGATCAGGGCTTTGCCCTGGCTCTGTATTCAGGGGTCACTTTGGGAGGGTTCAGGGGAACTTGTGTGTGGGTTGATTCAATCATCAGTGTGCAAGGCAAATACCCTATCACCTACATAACTTCTCTGTGGGAAGATAATCTTAACTTGTAAGAGGCACCTCTCTCTTTAGAGCCGAGTGGTTGTGGTCATACCCCACATTGCTTAGGGACTCCTCTAGGTTCTGTGTTCAGGGGTCACTCCTGAAGGTGCTCTTTGGACCATGAAGTTCTGGGGATGGAACAGGGATTGCTGCAAGTAAGGTGAGAGCTTTAAGTCTTATATAATTGCTCTAACCCCAGGACATATGTCTTGATCAACAGTTATGTGTCATATGCTCTCATCCTACTTGCTACGCACATGTGTAACCTTGTTCACATAACCCAGGGGGTTTGGGGCAATCCTGGAGAGAAAATTATCTTCAGATTTTTCTGAGAGCAGTTCTTAAACTTTTCATTTTGTTTCGTTAGTGGGCATAGAAATGTTTGTAAAATAAAGGTACCTGTTTCCTATATTTTATGCATACCCACAAAGAGAAAAAAAGTGATGCACTTGTGAAAAAAATGGTGAATAAATGAGTTATTAAAATGATTTGGGGGCTTATTAAAATGTTTTGAAGTTGAGGTTGTAGGATGTCAAAATTCCAATAAATTTACAATTACTCTTTATAAAAGTAAAATGTTATTAAAATTTAAATTTTTATCTTCTACAATGCTAAATCAACATTTGTATGAGATATCCCTACCCCTTAATGTATACCAAAAGAATGATCTATTGCTGCTCAAAATTTATATTTAAGACAATTTAAATCTGCTCTCTGAAATTAGTGATACTTGATCCAGATATTTTGTAGTGATGGAGAAATAAGAGAAAAAAAGCCTTTCCAAGCAGTCCCTTTAAATACACTCTCACTAGCTAAAAAAAAAATTCTTAAAAGTGAGCTTTTCTGATAAATCAAAAGCTATTAGAATAAATACTAAGCAGCCCTAGCTAATGATTGTGGTTATCTTAAATTGATATGTTTTCTCCAAATATTAGAAACTCTATATTAGAAAAGCTGTGCTATCAGCCTGAGGACATAGCTATTGTTGCAATTTTTATCTTCTAAAATACTAAAACCATAGGACTCCCTCTTGCCAATAATGGCTTAAAGAACTTGTTGGCTTTTGAGGCGACACAACCATTAGAGACATTGGGAGACTGCTGATATGAGGTAATTATATCCTGTATTTTGCAATCCACACATATTCGTTCCTAAAGAGGGACCTTTCTATGAAAACTCTTGCCCACGTGAACATCTAGGAGTCAGATGGCATAAAGAGAGAAAGGCATTCACATTCAAAATCGGGGGGGGGGGGGGATGGTGCAAAGACCTGGATTGCATGCTTGGTCTGCAGGAGACCTGGGTTCCATCCCCCACTCTGCATAGTTCTCTGAGCACTGTTGGCATGCCCCCGAACAGTGAGTACTCCCAACACACTGCTGAGTGTGACCTCCCCAGACAAAAAAATTAAAACAAAAATAAAAACAAAAATAATTGTAGAAGACAAGGAAAAGGTCAGAATTCTATTTTGCAGGCACTTGGAGAACTAATCTAGGAAGTTAGCCACTGAGGACTACTAGGTTCAATTTAGACAGCTGCTAGAATATTCTGCAAGCCATCTCTGAAAGGACACTTTACTCCTGTCTATTTGAACCATTTATATTCTAGTTACCCTTCCACTTATACATGCAAGCATGATATTTCACTACCCTTTCCATTTATGCATGCAATCATTATTGTACTCTATACACAGGTCGATCTCTACATCAACTTTCTTACAAAGCCACATCCAGTCATCCTATTTGACATGTTTTATAGGACTGAGCAATATATACCTTCATTGCCTTGAGGATTTATCAGTTTTCAATATTTCATTCAAAAGTCCAGCAGTGTTAGAGACACTGCTTTGGATGGTTAGCTAATGACACAAAATCCATACCTCCCTTAAGATTTATTAATTCCTTAAGTCCCTGTAATAAATCAGTAATTTTAGTGGTTATAAAGAGAAAAAGGTGCTAGAAACAATTTTAATAATTTTAGAATTCTACATTCTCCAGTAGGGTTTATTTCATAACCTTTAAGTTATTTCCAAGTACTTAATTATAGTTTTCCATAAGACTTGTCTTTGTTGTAGCAGCTTTTACTTTTCCAAATTTCTTCCACACTCAAAAAATAAACCCACAAAATAAAAAGGGTCCTGGAGAGATAATGCAGTGGGTAGGGTGTTTGCATTACACACCATCACCCTGGTTTCCCTACAGGCACCCTATATGGTCCCCTGTGCACAAAACAAGAGTGATACATGAGCACCACTGGGTGTAGCCCCAGAACCCCAAACAAACAAAGTGAACAAGTAAAACCAAGAACCCAACAAACTCTACTGACACTGATCATCATCTACTCTGTTAGACAGAGGCAGATAAAATAATTCTCAAGGCTGTCTTTGCAATACTCAGGGAATTCTGAAATTTCTGGGTAGATCATTAAAATAAAGACCAGGAAAGGCAATGAGAAAGTGCCTTAGTAGTTATTAAAAGAAGTTTTATTCTAACGTAAACCATAGGTTTGTCCTGAAAAAGGGCTACAAAGAAATACACACATTCATCTCCAGAAAATTCCCTAGAATTCTGTGTGTGTGTGTGTGTGTGTGTGTGTGTGTGTGTGTGTGTGTGTGATGGTTTTCTCTGGAGTTACTAATACTGGGATTGGCTTGCTACCCAAATACCCTCCTAAATTTGTAGCAGGGGCTTTGTTCCTGTGTCCATTTATTCCAACAACTTGCTTGGAACTCATTTATGTGCAGAGCCTAGGTGTGGGGGTGGGGGTGGAGAATGGAGGGGGAACCCTGGCACATTCTGTAATCCCCCAGCAGATTTCTGGCTCCCTTTTCACCAATCCATCTTAAATAGTGCCTAGAGCCCCGCATCTCCCCATACCTATGATGAAGCAATTTAGCACAAAAAGAGAAAAGCCCCGTAACTTGGCATTCGCGTGGACATTAATCTTGGAGAAAACCAAATGGATCCAACTTTTAGCAGACTTTAATGGCAAAGCTGTCACATTTTACATAAATGAGTATCGGGACTGGTAGCAAACGCAGAGGGAACCCCCTAGGAGCCAAGAAAAGGAGGCGGGGCTGCTGACTGGACTGTTTGCAAAGTGGCTCCAGTTTTGAGGGGAGGGGCTGCGACAGTAGGCAGGACAGAAGGAGATGAAGCAGTTAAAAATGATGAGTAGCGAGGGGCTGGGACCTCGGATCCGGTATATAAGGAGCCTCCAGCGCTGAGCGGCGGCTGCTGCTGAGAACCTCGGGGCGCACTGGCTCCGCCGCTCACTAGCCAGAGGCCAGAAGGAGAATCAGGGGTGCAGATGGAGTCCAAATAGGGGTGCTGCCTTGCCTCTGAGCTAGACGCAAGGCCCCTTAACTTCCCTTTCACTCTACCCAACCCCGTCGCCTCCCTGCATCCCGTACGCGCCCCAGGCACCAACTGCACGTCGGGCTCAAGGCGATGCGCCCCGGACTCCTGATCGCGGGGTGCCAGCCGGAGTAGGGAGTCAGGGCGAGGCAGGGCTGTGTGTTTCCGAACCAAGGCTGCCCGGGGAGACCGCCCAGCTCCCCTTTCACCACCACCTTCTCTCTTCGCCACACCTGCTGCTGCCGCCGCGTCGCGATGAGTCGCGTGGTCTGGCTGCTGCTGGGCGCTGCGCTGCTCTGCGGCCACCGAGCCGCCTGTCGCCGGGTGGTCAGCGGTGAGTCCGGGGCGGCTCTCTGGGGCGGGTGGTGATGCTGATAGTGCGGCGGGGGCGGGGGGGGGAGGTGGGGAGGGTCCAGCGGGTCGGGTCTAGGGGCTGAGGGGTGTGGGGGGTGTGTGTGTGTGTGTGTGTGTGTGTGTGTGTGTGTGTGTGTGTGTATGCGTGTGTGTGTCCGGGTGTTGTATTCTCCAGCCCACTGCCTAAGTTCCTCATGCACGTGCGCGCACACACACAGAAAAGTTGATTTTTTAAAAAATGTTTTCAAAAGTACACGCTTGAAGAGCTTAGACGGCGAGCTCTGCTTCCTGCCGAGCGCTTTTAGCCTTTGCCAGTAGTCTTGCCTACTTTGTGAAAGAGTTGGCCACGGCGCATGGGCTGGGCACCTGCAAACGGGGCGGGGTGCCGCAGTGGCAGAGGGAACCCAGGCGCAGAAGAATCGCTGCAGGAATGCCACCCAAACCCCCGCCCCCGCCCCCCGTCGGGCTTGGATCCATCTCAGCCCTGGCACTGGGTTTCCTTGGTTGATTTCTGAGCTCAGACCTGGTTCCCTTGCGAATTACCGTTCACTCTCCCCACCCTTGGGCGCGCAGCCTTTGTTCTCAGGAGGACTGACAAAGAGCAGGAGACACACCAGTGTGCGTGGTCCCAAAGTGTGTCCTGCCTTTGCAAGCTTCATTCCAAATTGGCGACTGCTCAGAAAAGGAACTCCACTAGAGTTTGGGTGAGGCGCAGAGGGGGAGCGACTGCAGGATCCTGCACACTCCAGGAGTGCAATTAAGTCTATGCAGAAACCAGGGAAACGGGTCCAGACAGCCACGCTCCTAACCGGTTTTTATGCTTTTTCTAATTTCTTCTTTCACGATTCTCCGGTCTAACAGTGTACATTGCATTTACTCTCTTTACTTTCGAGACGATCTCTCAAGGAAAGCATGTAGAGTCTCACACATCTTAAATGAAAGACTGGGACCTTCCATGAAGGCTGAGCACTTGCTCCCACTATTGGAATGACTTGTGATGCTTATTTAAGCGTGACAATAAATATTTGTTGAATGTGGGCGTGTTTTTTCATCATGGGAAGTTTTTACAAATTCCTCTTCACATCCTGTGCCTCTGTCTAACAGGTGTCATTAGAAGTAGAGTTAAATGACAAATGACAGCAACTTAATCAGTAGTGAGGCCAGACCTTTGGAAAGAGGCATATTAAGCTTAATTGTCACTGATCTTCCCCTCAGCAATACGTGATGTTCTGCATCTTCAGGATATAATTCTTCAATGTCTTGTTATCAATCATTTCCCAGTAACTTTCAGCCCTCTGGAGAGACAGTGGAATTAAATTCATTGTGAAATGTCATTTGTAAAAAAAAAAAAATGTTGCTCACATTGGGGGCTCGGGAAGGAAGCTAATTTTATTCATGTTAAAAACACACACACACAGCAACTTTACAGTATCAAATAAGGATGGCACAGAAACCAAACAATAAGTTTCTTTCCTCCGTGATTTAACTCGGAATGAAAAGTGCACTATATCAACTCATCTGCATACCTGAATTACTAACCTGTTTGATTTAGTGTTTATCAAAATTATTCTTGCAAATAAGCGAACAGCAGAAACTATGTTTTGAGCATTGGTATTTTGAAGTCATAGACATTCATTACTGATTTAAATAGTATCATTTTGATTGTTTTGGCTTATATTACTTAAACCTTGTGAAAGAAAAGGGGTATATAAATTAAATATATACATGTTTATTTTGATATATAAAAGAGCAATCTAAAATGTTGACAAAAGTGTATTCTTTTGTTCTATTGTTGCATAAATCACTGCAAATATTTTTCTGTGTTTTTCTAGGAATCTTGTAGGTGACATCTGGAAAATTTCTAATTAACTGAACATGATATATTTGATTTAGCATAACTATGTTTACTTGATATTAAAACAATTACTTAGTTAGATTTTTTAAAGGAATAATTTAGCTGCCCATGGCCATAAAAAACCCATTTAAATTTGAACATTATAAATTGATTTGTGATTTTATTTATTGAAGGCTAACTTTTAAGACTATATGCTTTAGGCAGAATACATGAATTCAGAGCACCCTAAAACTTGAAATTGTGGAAACAGTTAATCTTATGTTTTTATGGTCAGTGTTAAGTTTTAAGAGGTGCATCAACTTTTTCATGCCACTAGGGACAATCTACCAAATTTCAACTCAAATATCTGTATTTCCTAAACAAACACTTTGGAAGAAATTACTGGGAACAAACTAACCCAAAGTATATGAAATTCATTTCATGTTTATTAATGTCAATAAACTCTTTACAATTTCTATTAATAGGCCAGTCATTTACCTTAAAACTTCAACTTAATACTTCATAGAAGTTTTTGTAACTTTAGTACCTTAAAATCATTAGGGGACTGGAGCAATAGTATAGTGGGTAGGGCACTTGCTTTTTAATGCAGCTGATCAGGGTTTGATCCCTGGCATCCCATATGTCCTCTTGAGCACTGCCAGGAGTGACTCCTGAATACAAGATCAGTTCCTGAATATCACCACATGAGGCCTAAGAAACTAAAAAAAAATCAATAATATGCTTTCTAATATTTTCAAATCATTACACTTTTAAAAATGAATGCATTGCCTCTTAATGAAATGAATCATTTTTATAAGAAACATTAAAAATCCTTTATTATAAACTGCCCTTTACAATTTACTAGCAGGTGCCAATAACAAATATATTTTGATGTCAGTGACTATATTTTGATGCACAACTATATAACTGAAAATATACACTATGAGGGTGATAACAGGAAAATTTAAAGCATATATGATTCAAGGCTAGAGAAATTTCTGGAATCCTAGGCCTAACTTGATTTGCTGCTGAGCCTGGATTTGTAGGCGTTATTTGCAGGAGATGTAATAATTAAATTTTTTGCAGTGGAACTGATTAGATAATGAAAGCTTTATAGGAATAGATAAGATGTAAATCATATGATATGGATGCTTAAGTAAAATGAGTATTAAAAATTTTCTTCTAAACTGAGTGAATGGGAAGAACCACACATTTTAAAAACTGAAAATGTTTTGAAGTGATGTACTTCTTTTTCTTTAGCTTCAGTTTTTTAGTGTGCACAGCAGTGATAACCTGCATATTCTGCAAATTGGCATTAATGTAATTTATGGTACCTTAAAATATATCTGCAGAACACATTTTAATTTCTACTTAATAAAAATGACATGGGTGTTATTTATGAGACTGGGTGATTTAGAGAGCACACTTTGTAGTCATTCAAATGTCACTGAATATTGCAAAATCATAGGTGGTGATGAGACCATACAGATTAATATAGTAGCTCGGGAGACTCAAAACTGCTGAGCAGATCTGAGCTGATGGTACTATTCCATGACATCATCAAAAGCATAAAGTGATGACACTGCAGTTTTCAAAGATGCAATTACTTTAAGTATCTCTTGGGCAAGAAAGGAACAAATTAATCTTATTACCAGTCATTTCATCCACTAGCCATTTATCATAAACATTTCTCTTAACTGTTTTTCATCATTTTATGCTTTTTTTTAAAATAACATTTCTCCTGTTTCTCATCATTTTATGGTTGAGTTTCATGACTCTTTTTTCCCAAAGATGGTAATACATATTACAGTAACATTAGAAGAGAAGTGACATTAACTAAAGAGGCCCAACATAGAAACCCAGCTAATATTCTTAATAACTGTGTTACTTTGAACAACTATCTTCACTGCTAACAATGGTTGGTGGATATTTTTTGAAGAAAAAGTCCAGGCAAGATTTTTCTTTTACTCTTGTAATATGTGTTCTTTTATTGTTGTAACAGATTACTGATGATATAATATATGTCAATAATTCAATTTACATTCCTTGTTACTGGGGGGAAGTCAGTTTGAGATTTTCTTGTCTGATTTGGAAAATAAAACATATGAACAAGAAATCATTAAGGAAATATCTCTGAACTGGAAGATGCTCCAATATTAACCTTGTATCTGAATGTTTGTGTAATAAAATACCTTTAGCTTTTTTATTTTATGCACAGTGATTCACAATATTGATAGTGGCAGGGTTTCATGCATAAAACATTCCATCACCATCCATTTCACTAGAGTGTTAGCATCCCTCCACCATCATTCCAGTGTTCTGCCTCCAAGTCGTTCACAAACAAGTTCTTCTTCACTGACTGTTAATCCTATAATGATCTTGGATCATTTTAGGGATAGTGATATCAGATGTGTGTCATACTTCTTCAGCTGGGAAATTCCACATGCTCTCAGAAAGGGGTAAAACTTGTATTTATTTTCAATTCCAATACTAGAAAGAAGCATATAGGGCCTTCAAGAGGAAGTGAATTCTTTCATGGTTCTATTATATGTATTCCAAAGTTCTATATTCATAATCATATGAATATACTAATTGTTTTACTGGAACTTCGGTATTGAAATATCTAAAGCCTTTCATATTTAAGACTTACATCTAGCCACACATTCAGATCATGTCAACAAAATAACTACAAAGAGATTTCTTACTCTACCATTTTTCCTAAAAATCTTGTTAGCTCCTCCCATTTGTAGAAATTCAGGTGGAAAAGCTCTTAAATTTATCATCAATTGTCCAACAATCAGAGGATATTTATTACCACAGACTCTGTGTATTTCATTATTTTTAGAATAAATTAAGACAGTATTAACATAATAAATTGCTACTTATGACGTTTTTTAGCTCATAAATATTCCATGTGAGATGTTATCTAAATATAACATTGGAAAGTGAGAAAAAAGGAAGTTCATGTGTTCTCAAAATATGAGAAATAAAATGAGAAAACATAATAATGAATACACATAATAAATTTCAAAAAGACAAGACTTTACAGAAATAGCACAGTTAGTTCTAGAAGCTCCATGTCAATAGAACATTCTGGTAATTAGAGTAACATTTGTTTTCCAGCTCTTGGAGTTTCACTCAAAGGGGATCAATTGAAATGGTCACAAGCGGTTCAATAACTTCTTCTGATCTTGTTGCAACTTGGATTAACTTTGCACAATAAAGTGGCTATCAGTGGTCAAATTGAACTGGGTATAAAGAAATTGAGTGTCTTCTTTTAATGAAAATATATAAACCATAAAAATTCGCAGTGCGATTATAATTTTTGAAAAATTGTCTTGCAAGAGCTGAACTGACAGTAACATTTGAATTCAAAATCAGTGAACACATTAACAACCACTATACTTTGCAGTTAATATCTATGTGTATTAGATAACTGACCTTGAACCCATTTCTTTAAGAGCATTCATATATACAGCCACCACAATTCTCCAGGATGTCTGTATCTTTCCATCAGAGATAAGCAAAGAGAAAAAGTCTCACACTGAGATTAGCAAACTGTCTTCAGGGCCCATTAAGCAGTAATTACTTTAAATATAATTCCTGTCTCTAAAATTTTACTATTATTTCTCTATTGAGCAACATACTGGTGTCAAGAATTTCCACATGACACATAGAGCTTTGTTGTTTATTTAATTTGAAAGACAAGTTTTTACTTTTATAATGAATAAATCAAATAATGAATAATCAATGAATTCCCTATATTCTTACCATTTGTTTAGTCTTAGCATATACATGTAAAACTATTAAATTTATTTTTAACATATAATAATGAGCAGACACTTTTAGCATATAAATAATGTTCATGCATTCTCTGAGTATGATATACTTTTGCTATCTAAATATGTCTTACTCATTGAAACTTTTGGTTAACCTATTTTCATTTTTTCTTAAGTTAATTTCCTTCCACATTTTACAGAACAGTCTTGCTGGACAAATTTAACATTTCAAAAGTGCTGGAACAAAATCCAAGTCTGAGAGCACTTGAAGTGAAAGAGTAAATTGAAAACTCTAGGGAATGCAGTTAGGATATTTAAAAATGAATATGTAGAGGATATTACTAGAGAAAATGGAAATGGGACTTGCTTTAAAAACAGGAAGATAAACATCACTGAACCTAAGACCATTTTAGACTACTACTAGGACCAACCATTTTTAAACAATAAATTCACCACAAAATTTATAAAGTTTTTGGAAAATGAAAATCAATATAATAATTGCATTATGGCCAACGACTGAGACTTCTATGATGATTTCTCAAAGACTATTTATCTCATATTGGTGTGGTTTCCTGAAGTCTCTTTAACTCTAGCTTCCAAAGGTCATTTACACAGACATGTTATTTTTTATTAAGAATCAGGGTAGTATGATAATTGGTTCAAATTATTTGGTGTGCTGTTCCTGCATTCAGAAAAGTCCACAGACTGAGAGTATAACTGATGCCTTCCTTGTAATTTGCAAAGCTTTGTTTTATTAACTGACTGTTCTCAGCTTGTGTCAAGATATTGAATACACATTACTTAAAAACTGTTGTGAGGTTAATGACCTTCTGCTGATTTCTGCCTCCCACTGCCTCTGGGTATCATCATAGGTCATTAATCACTTATTCTGGGGGAGAATGGATGTGATACTGCAGCTGTATCATTGCGATTCTCTTGGGTTGTAATTAAGAATACAAATTGAATGTTTGGTTTTCAACTAGTGTTTAAGTACAATTATAATTCCAACACCTTATTACTGATAGACTTTCTTGGCTACAAAATTAAACATATAGTTAAAACACACACACACACACACACACACACACACACACACACACACACACACACACAAACCCAAACCTTAAGTTCCACCAAGAACAACCATGTAGATGCATTGGAAGAAAGCAGAACTATATCATGATGTATTACCAACAAAAAAGTTAATAATTCAACTTGATTTGATACAAAATCCTTGATAGTTTGTATTCCAGTATCACTCTCTAAGCTGAAATATAAGAGAATGAAGAAATTGAAGACTATGGCTTGCAGGATAGGGGTAAGGAATCTGTTATAGATTCTAAAGTTGACAACAGAGATGAGAGGTAAACCATGTAGACTAGAGAAAATCAAAATAAAGCAGCATGACTGTCCTGGAAATTGTCTTTACAATTTACAATCTTTTTTTGTTTGTTTGTTTTGGGGCCACACCCAGCAGAGCTCTGGGATTATTCCTGGACATATGCTCAGGCATCACTCTTAGAAAGGCTTTTGAGATGATATGATTTGCCAGGAATTGAACCCTGTGGGCCCCGTGCAAGGCAAACATTCAATCCACTTTAATATCGCTTCAGTCCTTATAATCTTGACATACATGTTTAACAGTAAAAGAAGACAGGTATAAATCATAGAATAATAAAATTCCACTGCCGGTAGTATTGGGCTAAATCCCCCACACTACAATATTTCATATATAATATATATATTCCATATATACATATGATATATGATTAACATATACCTCTTATATGTATTCCACATATACATATATTGTTTTATTGTGAGTCATCATTATACTTACTTTTATGTCTACTGATAATTCTATTAATTACTTAGTCATTAGTAGAATTCATTCTGTTTACATGTAGAGGTATATAAAATTGAATTTTGAAATATTCTTTTAAATCAAGTTTTTGTTATCAATGTAATTTTTTACATAAATGTTGTTAGAACAGTAGCATATTAGTGATGCTATATCAAGTCCTTTTTCTCTTAAAAAGGTGATATGATTTTAGAACTCAAGAATTATTTTGCTCTGGCTAATTTCTTAAAGCAAAAATATTTTACACACATATGTGGAATAATCTATAATTATAGGTGGAGCGATAGCACAGCGGGTAGGGCGTCTGCCTTGCACGCAGCCAACATGGCGAACCCGAGTTCGATTCCTCCACCCCTCTCGGAGAGCCCGGCAAGCTACCGAGAGTATTCGATATGCCAGACACAGTAACAACAAAGTCTCCAATGGAGACGTTACTGGGCCCGCTCGAGCAAATCGACGATCAACGGGAGGGCCTTTACTTACTTACTTACTTACTTATAAATAAATATCAGAATGGTTAAACTGAGTGCTGTAACTTGTAAATCCTTTAAAATGCAGCTATGAGCACAATGCATTTCAAATTTACTCTCCAAATTCATTAACTGTAAAAAAAAAGTTCAACTAAAATAATTTGAATTTAAACTTAAAACAATTCTGAATTTGGGAAAACTTAGAAAAAAATATAGATTATCATTTTTAGTGAAATAAGTCAGAGAAGGACAAATTTAGTGATCTCACTCCTTTAATATCAAATAAGGAAACTTGATTTTATTGAACAATGACAAACTCTTGACCTGAAGTGACAAAATTCAGGTTTTCAAGCAGAGGGCAAGGAATAAGACAATGAAAAGACAAACTAGAAGTAACATGAATAATAGAGATGACTCTCTAAAGATAGTGAAGACTGACTTTGGATTGGAATTCTTTAAATTTATGTCCTATAAAACTCGAGAATATTCAGGAAATGGACTATGAAGAAGTTTTCAAAGAGGTCTATACCATCAATTATATACAAAGTTAAGTTACTCTTTTAATAATTATTACTGCTTTGTGACCCCCCCGTTAAATTTTAATTTTAATATATTTGCTCTCAGGCATGTTCGATCCAAAAGTAGTTAGCCATTAAATTTGTGATTTTCTATCATCTTCATCATATCTTACATAAAATTGGCTATTTCTATGAAATGTTTTAATAATAAAATATCTATATAAATTACTATTATTCTTTCATTACTTTGTCCTTTTAGCTTTTTAAAATCCATGTACACTTGAAATTTCTTTAGCTACTTTCACTTGCTACAGTAATCAGTTTAAAAAGCTAATTTAGAATAGTGACTACCTTTACTAAAATGCTCTTGAATTGTGATTTATTAAGTTTTGTCACAAGTTTATTAGAAAACCAATTCAATTTTATAAGTTGAAGTTTTTAATCTTAAACATGACACAATGATTCAATGAAGGCACGATTATTCTTTGGTTTTGTTTCTGGGTCACATCCAGCTGTGTCCAGGACTTACTCTTAGCTTTGTGCTCAGGAATCACACCTACTGTTGCTCAGTGGACCATATTTAATTCTTGGAATCTCCCTGGGGTAGGATGCGGCCAAGGCAAGCACCTTAAGGCCTGTATACCCTAAATGAAGCAGTTTTGGTGGAATATTTCTTGTTTTGGTCATTTTTCAACCTTCTTAGCGTCATCATTACTAAAGCTCACGTGGATACATGGCTATTTTTCTTTCAGGCCAAAAGGTTTGCTTTGCTGACTTCAAACATCCCTGCTATAAAATGGCCTACTTCCATGAACTGTCCAGCCGAGTGAGCTTCCTGGAGGCCCGACTGGCTTGTGAGAGCGAGGGGGGCGCCCTTCTCAGCCTTGAGAACGAAGCAGAACAGAAATTGATAGAAAACATGTTGCAAAACTTGACAAAACCAGGAACAGGAATTTCCGATGGTGATTTCTGGATAGGGCTTTGGAGGAATGGAGAGGGGCAAGCATCTGGTCCCTGCCCAGATCTCTACCAGTGGTCTGATGGAAGTGTTTCCCAGTACCGGTAAGTGTGAGCTCTGAGAAGTTAGATGTATTCTGGGGACATGAAAGGGTGAAGAGAGATTTCTGCAGATCCTATCAGACTAGAATAGGGGTGAAAATCACTTGTGGAGTTTTCCTGTTGTTATTTTACTTGCAGAAACTGGTATACTGACGAACCTTCCTGTGGAAGTGAAAAGTGTGTTGTAATGTATCACCAGCCAACAGCTAATCCTGGTCTTGGGGGTCCCTATCTTTACCAGTGGAATGATGACAGGTGCAACATGAAGCACAATTACATCTGCAAGTATGAACCAGGTATGGAACTTAGCAGATCTTGTACTATTTGCTTCCATTATTCTGTACCTTTGGTCCTATTTATTTTTCTGCTATGAAACTTGGTTGACTTTACTCATTCAGTGTACCAAAGCACTTACTGCTGTGCCCGAGTTTCATATCCCCAATTGTGGAGAGACCAAGTCCACACACAATAATGCAAAAGCAGAGGAACTTTATTACTAGCCGGAGCCAGGGGCCAAGTCTCATCCAACACAGTGGAGTCTTGACAAGGACCCCAACTCCCAATCACAAGCAGTTTATATAGGGTTCAGTCAAGAAGAAATTTATATACTGATCTATTTTTAACATTGCTCTATTACAACAGTGGTCAGCAATTAGACAGCAGGTACCAGTAATGGTTTGGGGTTTTTTCCTAGAAAGGTTTGGCAACCCCTCATAATTGGCCAAATCCAACTGCCCAATTTCTTATCTAGGTGAATTATTCAATTGGGAGAAACTGCAAGTCCTACTCTGGGGAAACAGAAACTGAGGCCTAGTTGAGACTCAGTGTTAACTGCATCTTGTCATGGCTTCTGAGAAGCCTGCTTTTGGGCCTCACAGTTTACTTTCTGTAAAACTACCCAATGTAAAGAAGTAACTAGAAAGATCTGGAGGCATGTCTAAGAGAAACTAATCATTTCTCATAGTAAGATCATAAATTTATCTTAACAAACACATTTTTGAGGAGGAATATGCAATTAAAATAGTTAAAGCATGTTGTATAATATAAGTGAAGAAGGTACAAAAGCCCCTTAGATATTTCCACATCTGAGAAACAGTTCTTTAGGTGTTATTTGGTAGCTTAGAGGAATAGAGCAACTTCCTCCTGGGACATTAACTTAGCATTTCCCAGCTTGATACTTGGCCTCTGCTCCTCAGTAAAAGTTAAAGGGATCCTCATTAATCAGTCCAGGTGAAAACAAGTCAGGCTAAGTGCCATATTTTCCCTGTAGTTCTATAAAACAGGACTCTTTCAGTTGCCTTTGTTTGAAATATCCACTTGCCATACATCATAAAAGGAAGGACTGCATTGATTTGATCAACACCTGGGTGGTTTTCTGTTGAAAATGGTGGGTTTAAATTACTTCAAATAATATAGTTCAACAGCATCGCTGCTTGACCAAAAGATTAATAAAAATACAAAAACTCAATTTTTAAATCATTGAAGAAATTACATTGGCTACTTAGGTTTAGAGATGTTTTGTTGTTCTTCCACCTTGGAGTTGGCAAGTGTCAGTTTAGTTTTTTCAAGGGGCCCTGTGCTTGACCTCACTCTGTGTTCACTGAAGGTAATTATATTCGAGTGCCGCCACTTCCATTATACTCTTGATGTTACATGATTCCTTTCCTCCTAAAACCATAAAGCACAAGGGATTACTTGGATTAGACTTAGCTTTCCTTTATATTTGTCTTATTCTAGACTTTATTAGCCAATAGTCTATATCCCTGACGACTTTATTCTTTAAATAAACCCTTATGGTTTAAAGAATCAAGATGGTTGCTAAGTCCATTATTATGCTTCTAGAAGCTTTTATAGAGATAAATATGTTTTGCACTTACTTTGTTTTGTCTTTAGATGGTCCTTGGGAAATATAATGCTGGAATTATTTGTTATTTTAAAATTGTGACACAAGATATTTTAGACTTAAATAAAGCAAAGCAATCTAAAGGATTTTTAATAAAATATTTTCCTTTCCCTCCTTTGAGATTTTAGATGAATTTTTGATACTCTGTATATTTGCTTATTTATTTGGTATTTTAGATAGCAGCAATACCACATATTCAAAATGACATTAACTTCAGTATTTTCTTCACTTAATTTGTATTAACTACTCTAAGTTTAGGTTACAAATGAAAGACCTTGTAAGAAATGAAGTTATTCTTTATTCTATATTTTACAAAACTATAAAAATGACCTATAGTTTATAAACAAGTGTCTTTAATATAAATTGTTTAAAAACATTAGTAGTTTTGGGATTGGAGAGAAAATATGTTGCGTAGTGTGCTTGCCTTACACATGGCCAGTCTGGGTTCATATCCTGGAACCCTATATGATCTTGCACCGTATCAGGAGTGATCCCTGAGCACAGAGATAGGAGTAATCCTTGAGTACTGCTGGGTGTGACCCCTCCATGCAAAATAACTCCGCAATTTTACATTTAATTTTACGTGTGCTTATTTCTATCATTTAAGACATATTTTAAACTTTTATTTCTCTATTTTCTATTTAATGAATTTTTTATTAAGTTTACTCCCCCCCTTTATGAAAAATATTGATGTGATGAAGTCCCTTGCTTAGAATCATTTCCTTAGTAGTGAGTTTTTAGTAGTGAAAGAACTGAGGTATTAAGCAAAAGAAATGTGACATTTATAAATTATAGAACTAATTATTTTGAACTGTATTCTCCAACTATACCAGAACTATTGTGTGATTTAAATGTACTCTCCTTTTTCTGCTCCCACATGTATCCTAGAAGTATGATTCATGATATCTAAAATGGAAAAAGAATGAAACATTTTTTACTATGTGGAAGCTAAATAATTCATATGTCAACTTTCTTACTTCTTCTCCACTATTTCTGTTGTTTACCTATGCTGATTATTTTTTGTGTCTGCCTATGTTGTCAAATGTATTTTTATGGGAATATTCCTCTATCTAATTTTTGTGTTTGTTAAAATTACTACCTTGTATGTTACTTGCTTTTAGACACTAAGATAGTATTCTGGAATTATGTTTTATTACATAATCATCGGTTGAGTTAATTGAAAGTTTGATTTACAAGTATAGAGTACCTTAGTTCTATAGAAAACTAAGTGTAGAGTAGGACTATATTTGCATGTAGATAAATTAGAGTAGTAAAAATAACACTAAATATTTTATTATTCCATTACAATTTTACTGCATGTGATTTTTCCCCTCTTTTGTCAATTGACAAAAATGGAGTTATAAATTTTGACCAATAAAATAATTGCAGGTGATTTTTGTAGTTAGTCAGCTTTCTTTCAGTGAACTATTAATTTGACAAATTATGCCTTAGGAAAAACAGAAGGTAATGAACAGTATCAAACCATGATAAGAAATGTCATTATTTTTACTTGTAGCAATTGAAGTGATCTTTATTTTCTCATAAGCCAGAAAAACAAACTACTAGAAATCCTTAATTTATTATTCTTTAAGAAAGTGTACAGTCTTTGAAAATGAATTCTTGGATGGCATTCTAAGGACAGAAGTGTAGTATAAGATCATTACGTGTTTAGCAATTTTAAAAGAAGCCCATTTATCATTATTGTGAGAAGCTTAAATAGTTTGCTGACATAAGTAAAGAAATATTTTATTTGCTTATACTTGTTTATATGTAGTTAATGTCTTAGTACTCAGGCTTACTAGCTGATGTTTATCTTTGCCTAGTTTTACACCTGCGTTGTGTTTATTACTAAAGGCTGTCACCAATATAGATGATGTTGATGGACATGTAAACTTTTGGATTACAGTGATTCACCAAGCGACTTTAAGTTGCAAGGATTCATCAAGGATTTGCCTTGATTTAAAGATAATGATACCTTTATAGTTAGATAGTCTTAATATACAATTTGTTCTAAAACCAAAACTATATCTTTATTGTTTCTTAATAGACTTTTAAAGCACTGTATCACTGTCCTTCTGTTGTTCATCGATTTCTTGAGCAGGCCCAGTAACGTGTCTATTGTGAAGACTTGTTGTTACAGTGTTTGGCATATCGAATATGTCAGGGGTAGCTTGCCAGGCTTTGCCGTGCAGGCAAAATACTCTTGGTAGCTTGCCGGCCTCTTTGAGATGGGTGGTGGAATTGAACTCGGCTCAGGCACCCTACAGCTGTGCTATCGCTCCAGCCCAGATATTAAAATATATACATTTATGTTTTTGTATTTATTCATTCTTACAACCTATTTGTGCTTGTGTATCTTTTCTCTATGATGCTTGTATTTTTATTTATAGAGATTAATCCAACTGCTCCTGTAGAAAAGACATATTTTACAAATCAACCTGGAGATACCCATCAGAATGTGGTCGTCACTGAAGCAGGTAATTATTTTACAATATGACACCTCTATGAGTAATAGAATCAGCTTCACAACTGCTGCAACTTATCTTATTGCTTGTCCATGTAACAAACTAAATGTGGGCAAGTGGTATTTTACTTTTAAATTAGACTAGAACAAAAGATGAGAAACAAACATTATGACAGATGAGCCTTTTTGTTTCCTCCTAATTTTTTTTTAACTCATGTGGTAGTGTCTATATTAAGTAATTCAGATTAAAACCCTTGTTCACAAGGTAGGCATTAGGATTTAAAATTGCACATTCAGTGGCCTGAATAAAATGGTGCCCAGATGAGGGTTAGGGATTGGCTAACTGTGGGTGCAGGCATCAAATGCAGAGCCTGCTTTGTAACCTTTGCAGATTACCATGGTGTAACTACTTTGGCTGATTTCAGGTTACCAAAATGTCATCACTGAATAGCAGAAGACTGCACACAGTGAGCTTTCAATGAGGCCTTTCAGCTGCCTCTAGTACAATATTGTTTGCAAAATAAGCAAACGGCAATTTCACTATAAATTGCATGTTTTGCTCTCAGTACAATTAGGGGCTCATTTTAGCATGGCCTTCTTCCAATTGGATAGAAATGTTGATTTAAGCTCATTCTTTAGTGTGCTCCAGATTCTGCATCAAAATCTTTCTGAAGATTATTAAAATTATACAAAAGAGTAGGGGATTATTATTATATATATTTATAAGAAATTATAATTTCTAAAAAATGAAAATATTCCTGATTGCCAAAATTGCTTGAAGTCATGTCTCAGAGGTTTGAGACTAACTGAAAATATAGCAGATTATTTCCCATCACTGACCTCAATTAACATATATTGTTTGGTTAACAAAGGAATTGGAAGTACAAGTAAATGGATAGTTTGATCCAAGTCTGATTCAGTTTGCTCAGAATTATTAAGATTGATCATGATGGCAGCTTTTGATTTGCTAAGTGCATAGATTTTTAGATCACATTTCTTATGTGGTCATATTAAACTTTTTATTTTTCTGGTGTTTGATTTAATTTAATTTTTTTTTACAAAAAATCCTCTACCTTTGTGTGAAGTAAGGTAGTTTTATTATATTAAAATGGCTTAGAAAGAGCAGAGAACACAGGCTTCTTCAGAGTGGAATTAAGCAAAAAAAGAGAGACAGACTAGTAAGATATATGTTCATGGGCTTGAAGAGCCAACCAGAGGCACCTAATTTTAACACAGAATATATGCACCTAATTAAAGCTATCCTTAAGTGTTTATGTTGGGAGTATGCTCCCATTATAACATTGAAAGAGTGTTTAATGAAATAACTTGTAAACTTTAAAAGACTTTTATTGTGCCAAGAATATCCTAGATTATCAAGCAATATGGGACAGAATTTAAGAAATGTTTTATTTTAAAATTTAATGTGATCAAATTTTTCTGCCTCTGGAATGCATCTCTTATTACTGTCTAATCAGTTAATATTTCTAATTTTGGTTTAATCCTAGATAGTTTTTTATATCATTTTGGCACTGAGCCTATTGGCTAGAATCTTAATTTGTCTATCAAATCAACAATTCTTGTTCCAGAATTAATTCAAAAGATAACTAAATTGTTATTAAATTATGAATTGCAGATATAATTTAGAAAATATAGATCTTGAATTGGAGCATGATAGTATCATTTTGATTTTAATGTTAGCAAAGAAATATATTCTTTCATTCCATTATTTTGGGAAAGACTTTTATTCATATCTACTTATTGATAATTCAATTTTACTTTGATTTCTGAAACTTTTAAAAAAATCTTTTGTGTTAGACTCTTATCTCAACTCTCTATTTGCACTAAAACTGTTTTACTTTTGTAGGCATAATTCCCAACCTAATTTATGTTGTTATTCCTACAATTCCACTGCTTTTACTGATACTAGTTGCTTTTGGAACCTGCTGTTTTCAGATGCTTCATAAAAGGTAAATAATTTATACATATTATAGAAAAATTGAATGGTTAAATGCTTTTAATTTTTTAAAATGGTAAGGTATGTATTTAATTTGCCTTAAGAAATTAGATTTTTCAATTTATAATATATAATTAAATGACTATATCCTTTATAGAATTATTGTACTATCTCACTTAATCCTTACCAGTTTTATGATACAGGTACTCCTTTATTTCTTTTTTCAGTTAAGAACATGAAAGTTTAGATTGGCTACACAATTTGCTTTGGGATGTATCTGTGGTAGATCTGAAATTAAATAAAACTCTATGGTACAACCATTTGTTTATTACATATAAGCACCTATACTAGACATTTAAACCTTGAACTCTGGTTGTAACAAGACATTTGCAGGTGCACTTTGCAGTAATTTTTTCAGATTCCAGTTATACACATCTCTTTCATTTCAAAACAAACTTTTCAATATGGGGAGGAAAATACAATGGTAAAAATAGGTCATGGTTTGGCAGATACCTTGCAATAGAATGAAATATCATAACAAGATTACTGGGACATTCTTTTTTGTCTGTTTATTCAGACCTTAAATTAGATAAAGTTTTTCTGTGCCTACTCTGTCAAATCTATTTAAATAGTCATAAAAGAGATATAAGTGTGTATCAGAAGATAAAGGGAAATATGTTGGGTTGTGAGACCTCTTTTTCAGAGTGTTTAAATAAAAACTGGTCACGATAATGCCTCCACCTGGAAGAGACCCACAAATGAGGTAATTTTATTTTTTGAATCTACTCCATCTTTTTCTTTTAATAAATTAACCCTAAAGGATACACTAAGCAACAAAACTTCTGAGAAAAAATTTAAATAGATGTATACTATAGATGACATACCTAAGCTTTATTAAAAGAAAAAAAATGTGAATTACACACTTAAGTTTTGCATCTGGATGATAATAGAGGCTGGCAAAATGATACTAGTTCTCTATAATATCCAATATATATGAAAAATAGTTAATTAAAATTTTTTAACTTCCTGCCATTAGTTTTAATTAATGGAAGGACCATTTATCACTATGAAAAGCTACGGTGTACCAGAAGGATTATAATAAAACATGCTCTTACTCCAGTCAAACTGTTAAGAGCAGTTTATGACAACTCAGTTTGAAAAAATTATTTCAAAAATATTCACTTCATCATTTCTAAGATAAGAATTATCAAAGTGTCAGTAACAGAGTTTTCTCTGTGCCTTACATTTTTTCTAAATAGTGTATTATTGTAGTTTCCATATATTCAAAAGTTTTCCAGACTTTTACACTTTCAATAGCTGTGACATTTTGAATTGTTTGAAACTCTGAGTGAGAAAACAAAGCAAGATCGAGTATCTACCTGCAGATGCCATAATTAACTCCAGTGCTTAATTCACTCGTTCTTAGAGCCTCCATTTTCCTTTCTTCCAGGAAAGCAAGGAGAAACTTCATCAAAGATTCAACTCCATTATCATCTGAATGCCTTGCAGAAAGTTTAAATTCCAATCTGGTATACATCATGGTTTCTATCATTCCATGTCATGTTCCAAATAACCACACTCGTCTCCTTAACTAGTAGTAGTAACTCAAATGAAATACTAATGTTATCTGAGAGCCACATTAATAACTTAACCACCCTTTCCTTTTCATCTGAGAAACTCTCATGCTTTTCATAAACTTTGCTTGACTTCTGTTTGATTCTTGTTTGATCACTTCAGAGGTTAAGATGTTTTGATCTTATTTTGGTACAGATCTCCAAAGCGTATCACTTACCATGGTATTCTATTTTATTTTCTTTATTTTATATATCAGTGCTAGAGACCACTTCTGGTGGTACCACCAGGCCACACTGGCAGTGCCTGGACCACTAACACCACCGTCTTCAAGCTAAGGGTAAAGACTTCCAGGTCTACACCAAGTTGGGCTTGGTGAGAAACATATGATACCCCTGAGCTTGGTGCTAGCTTTCCATGTAGTGTTTTATTAACAATCAACTCTTGCTAAAGTGCAATCACCTAGGTAATACTACCAAACTGCCTTGCTCAGACTTGTTTAGAAGGAATTTTTCCCTTTCTTTCAATTCCTGGCATGTCTGGTAAATAGAAAATGAAGGGAATGATGCAGAAAACTTCCCAGTAGGAATGGTGCACAAGCTGTTGGAAAGGATGAGAGTGCAGAATGTAATAGGGACAGGCGCTGGTTGGTGGTTCATGTGAGAGTTCATGAATAGGAAATGCCAAAAGGAATTGAGACTTGCATGATTGATCCAGTAAATAATCACCTGGAATAGAGGTTTTCAGGAACTGCAGCTGCCCTCATAGTAGCCTAAATTTTAATGGGAAAAGGTTAGGAGATAGCTTAGTCTCAGGTGCATGCTGCCTATGTGAGCATAAATTCTCAATCTAAGAGAAGAGTTCTCTATCAGATTGAAGATGAACTCAGGAGTCCCTAGTCTGAGTCTTCTCCTGCAAATGCATTGAACTATACTGGTTTCAGAGACAACAAAAATCAACTTTTATTAATGGACTCAGTGATAGAACAGAATGAGTAGAATAGCAAGGTCCTTATATCTACAGCAAAAGCACTCTTGATGATCTTGTATTATATACATGATCAGTTAAAATATTCAGAAGGCAAAATAATCAAAAGTCATTGGTCAAAGATTAATTGTCAAAGATTAGTTACAATAGTTATTGGTGTTCTGTCAGATATAGTTTGTGTGTGTATGAGAGAGAGAATTATAAGTTCTAAAGGGTAAAACAGAAAAAATGTATTTATCTTTAAATTACTTCATATGTACTGTTTATCACTTTTGTGCACTGGAATAATCTAAATTTTTTTGTAGGACTGAAAAAATATGAAGGTGAGAGAAGGAGCCCTTGTTAAGAAGGGTCTGAAATTTTCTCCACTTGGGCATTGACAAACTCATTTGAGATGCAGTCTCCACAGTTAAATTTATTTCTTCTTGTGTTTTTCAGTAAAGGAAGAACAAAAACTAGCCCAAACCAGTCCACACTTTGGATTTCAAAAAGCACCAGAAAAGAAAGTGGTATGGAAGTATAATAATTCATAAACTTGACTTCAGAAAGTAAATTAAAGATTTATAATTCTGGATAAGTATAAGGTATGTCATCAGAACATTAGCTTGGAATGGCTTGAAATCTCAAAGGATCTGCAAGATGAACTGTAAGCTCCCCCTTGAGGCAAATGCTAAAATAATTTTTATATGTCTATTGTTTCATTTATAAAGTATGCTGTGCTAATAATGGAGTGAAACATGCTTATTTTGCTGAAGGATGTACCTGAAATTCAAGTTAATGGAATGGATCATGCAGATAAAATTGCTATCAATGCCTCAGAAATATGTGTGCTAGAAGTAAATATTTTGGTTTCTTTTATCTTTCTTAGGTTATAATCAAGCTAATGTACTGTAAATTGTATTGAAATTTTCAGTGTTCAAAATGTTTTATCTTTACATAAGTGTTTGATAAAAATGAACAGTTCTTATATTTATTTTTATGGTGTTTAATTTTTCAATACATGCTGTTTTGACTAAATAAATTTCTCACTATTGTCAACTTAAATCACACAAACACAAATATATTACCTTAGAACAAGTTTCTTTCCTAGAAATGACTCATCCTTTTTCAGTTTGTCTCCTTTTGGTCAGATTATGTTTAAGAAATAAGCTATTTCATTAACTGTGGTATAAGTCTGCTAAAATATTTTACATAAAGGCAAGGATTGTCTAATTTCAATTGTGCAAGACATGTGCCTTACAATTATTTTTAGTTTAAAATTAAACCAATTTTGTAGTAACTTTAATAAGAACTATTTAAACAATAATACACTCAATTGAGAACAAAAGAAGTGGCATATAAAGTATAATTCGTATGTCTTCACATGTTGCCTGTTTAACCACAAGTAATCCCCTGAAGGTTCTGGAATCAGTTTACCCCTCTCTTGACCACAAAACAAAGAGACGTACTTTGGGGGTCAACGTTGTCACTAGAGGTAGATAGCTTCAAAATATTCCTAAGATTTTCCTGTAACTCTGTTTAGCCTCCTTTGGCATATAAAAGGGTCTTGGAGCTGGGACAATATTCATGGTCACTGATGGGCGAGGTAAGCACAGCTCACTGACATTTCAGCAAGGAAGAAAACTCAAGTAATGAATTAGCATGAAAACGGATGGAAGATATCAATGGTAACGTTCATTGTTGAGGATTTGACTGAGAGACTAAAGCAAGTCTCCTTCAAGTCTCATCCTCATTTCTTCAATGTTTGTGGCACCTTCTTCTTAAGAGAAAGTTGTAACTATCCAGTTCCTTTTAAACCAAATAAAAAATTATGGTTTCTGAAGACTGATGACCGGTGTCTATATCTCTAAGGGAATAAAGCATAGCTGCTTTATGAACACAGATGTCAACACACAGAGATGATAACAAGTTACTGTTTACGTGTGGTAGAGATGGTAGTTGTCTTATAATAAAAGTTATCTTTAAAATGGACATTTAAAAGGTAGTCTCTCCCTTGTCAAATTCTATTGAATAGCAAAGAATACTTATTAAGGCAGTTCACAACTATTTTTAGTTGGCCGAACTAAGAGGCAATATAGAAAAGCACAGTGGGTAGGGTGTTTGCCTTGCACCAGGCCTACCCGTGTTTGATTCCTCGACCCCTCTCGGAGAGCCCCATAAGTTACCGAGAGTATCCCGCCTGAATGGCAGCACCTTACAAGCTCCCTGTGATGTATTCAATATACCCAAAACAGTAACAACAAGTCTTGCAATGGAGATGTTACTGGTGCCCACAAGCAAATCGATGTACAATGGGAGGATAGTGCTATAGGACAGTGATACATATAGAAATGCATGGGCCTTGGCACCTTTTCGGCTTCTTAGAGACTGAATGTCCTATTGCAAACCAGCCTTAAATGCTGACCACATTTAGCACTCATTTTCTTTGCCACCCATCTTTCTGGGCAGAATGCAATGACAGCTGCTGAGATCTCCTCTTCCCTACAAGTTCCCACCCTTCATTTCCATGCATTTCTCCCTTTAGTTAGGACTCCATGAGAAAGAAACAAGGTTTCCCCTTTGTTGGTGCCACCCAGGACTCCAACAGCTGCAGAGCAGGAAAGGCAAGTCATAGGAAAAGGCCTTGATTTTGCCTTTTATCTGGATCCAGGCCTGGAGAATTCTGATGGTATCCATTACTAAACCCATGAGTTACTAGGAGCAGGGCAATGAATTCCTTTCTAATTTGAAGAAAGTAGCAAATTTGTTTTTAGAGTTTCAAAAAGTTTTAGCTGACTATTGAAAAATGAAAAGGAGTACATGGTGTATCTGTTATATTTATCTATTTTAGAATGTATCTTTAATATGCGTTTTTGAAATATGAGCACAGAACAAGATTTAGATAATCAAGTTGAATAATATTCCCTATTGTGTTGTTTCATTTTCCCTAATTGTTCTACCCTCCTTATTAGGAGAAGGTTATCAAAAGGTTATCAAAAATTTCTTCAGAGAGTGTTTGGGGATCCTAAATTTTATCTTTAGCATAGAGCTTAAGATTCCTACAGGAATAATTCCTACTTCTCCTTTCTCTGATAATTTTCACAGAGATGATCTTTGGGCTTATCACAATTCTCTACTATCCTCTCCCAAAACTTTCAAATCAATCATGCATGCACAGCAATTCCCAACATCCTCTTCAGTACTTTAGTAATAACCATTTGGTTCAGCCTAAGACTCATTTGTAGTATGTCAGTCTTTACTCATTGAACTTATCATAAAACTTCTAAAACTCACTCCAACTATTTTGGAAGTATACAGACTCAAGTAAAAATGTGTGTGTTTGTTTGTGTTATGTTTGTATAATCAAACTAATATAGTTGTAACCCCCAAACACATGAACAGCTTTTTTGTAGTAAGCTGAGTTAAGTTGCACATATTCTGGAAACGATCCAAAAGATTAAAGCAGTGAATCAAATTCATTTATTCCACACATTTGGCCTATTAATGGGCAACTTAACTGTGCCTAAATAAATTTTGCACTGGTTTGAAGATTTCATTATAACAAACATAAAACATAAAAAAATAATATAATATATGCACTCTCATACTGTCTGACATTTTTGAAACTTAGAAAATCCTAACATGGAATAAACAGTACAACGAATCAAAATAAAAGATGATTCAGAGAAATAAATACCATATCAATGAGCTTATCTTTTGTTTTGATGCTAAAGTGCTATCTAGACCTCTGTGTTTATGCTGCTTAATTAGCTTATTTGAGAGGAATGTTCCATCGTTTTAGTCCAGGTCTATGAAGTGAGTTTGCAATAAATATTTTTATAAGGAAGAAAATATTAAAGGCACTTTCAAGATAAATTTTAAGTTTTTTTTTGATAGGAAAACAGAGAGTCTGGGTGATAGTAATATAGGTTAGAATTAGATTATTTACAGCAGTTTATTCCGGACCATAGAAACAAAGGAGCTAGTTTCACCGCTTTGGCTAATTTTGCATAAATACTCCATGTGCAGAATACTATTTAAAATATAATTTTCATTTTATTATTTGTTTAATTTTGTATTCATCTTTAGAGCCACACCCAGCAGTACTCAGGGATTGTTCCTGGGCCGTTCGCTGGTAGTACCTCGAGAACTATGGGTGAGAAGAATGGAAAGGCAGCTTTAGGAAAGCCCCAGCTCCAGCCCTTAGCACTATCTCTCCAGCTCTATATGACATTTTCAAATAAGAAAGCATGCTAAAAATTGATCATGACTAAGGAAATCAAATCTGTAAAAGAAAGCCTATTCACATTAAGATGAAAATATATTATTTAGCTACTTGTATATATTAATTTTGTTATTTTATTCTCTTCCCTTAATATTTCAGTGCCCCAGATCGTAATAAAGAGTATTAAAAAATAGTTGTTTTTTTATAAAGCTTTTTATTTTCATTCTTCATTGAGTGTAATGGAAGAAATGCTCGATTTCCGTGTTTGATTTAGGAGGCTCTCTAATGTAGAAAATTTTGTATCCATTCTGTGAATCTTGGGACCCGAGCATACACCCCTGGTCGATTAGGCAGACCGCACTGGTATCCAAATGATGTCACACCAGCCAGGAACCACCTGCTGTTTTCTTGGCACATTAAGGGTCCTCCAGAATCACCCTAAAAAGTAAGTTATAAAGGAAAATTGTAGGCATGTGGTTAGCCGATAACATTAAATACAACTGATTTTGCAAATCAAACCCAAGTCTCTCTCTCTCTCTCCTTTTTCTCTCTCCTTTCTATCTCTCTCCCTCTCTCTCTCTCTCTCTCTCTCACACACACACACACACACAATTACATATTCCTACTACCACATTAGTTAATAATGAGAACCTTTTGTTACTCAGTAAAAAGGCAAAAAAACTTTGACAAGTAAAATAAATTTTTATGTGATGTTTTATGATGCACTTTTATTGACTTAAAATAACTCATGTATGGGGTACTAAAATTTCTCTACTGCACAACTATGAATGTATTCTGGCCAAAATATACATAAAATTCTTGTCACTTTATTTAAAAATATATTCTAACTCTCACAGTGGGCTTTGTGGAAAAACACAGACAAAAAGGTCCATGCTGTGTACTTAGAAAATCTGAAAACACGTAGTTAAAACTGATTTTAGTTTTCTTGAATAATATTAACATTTGGCATTAAAAAAAGCAGTAAGATTTGAAAAAAATGTAACTGGATATGGGAAAATCTATGATTTAACTTTTTTGATAGGAACTTATGTTTTTATTTAAGATTCCAATTGAGCAAACTTAAGTATTAATTATAATAAGACTTATAGAGTTAATTTTATAGACTATATATGATTATTTCTGTGCACTGCAAATGAATAAATTATTTTTCCTTTTTAAATTGTACAAATATTAATCTTTTTACATTTATGCAGGAAATGTATGCAGTGGATGTCTTGACATTGCAGGTATAATGCATTTTTTTTAAATAAAATTGGGTGGGGATTAATATACACCAGCAGTGCTCAGATTTTACACCAGACTGTGCTTTGGGATGATTTCTGCCAATGCTCACAGGATGCTATGTGGCTCTAGGAATTGAACCAGGTAGAATGAATGCAAGGCAAATGCCCAGTACTAACTCTCCCATCCTTACAAAAGGTATTTTAAGCTTATATTGTATCTGATAATTCCTTGAGGGAATTTTTGATGATTATTATTTTCTTTTATCCCTATTTTTAAGGCAGTATAACTGTCACTGTCACTGTCCCCCTGTTGTTCATCAATTTTGCTTGAGTGGGCCCAGTAACGGCTCCATTGTGACACTAGTTACTGTGTTTGGCGTATCAAATACATCACGGATAGCTTGCCAGACTTTGCCATTCGGGAGAGATACTTGTCCGGCTCTGCAAGAGGGGCATAGGAATTGAACCTGGGTCAGCTGGATCCGCCACGTGCAAGGCAAATGCCCTACCTGCTGTGCTATCGCTCCAGTCCTATGGCAGTATATATAATATACTATATATATGTTAATCAGAGAAAGGGTGTTTATATATTATATATAGTAAGGTAAAGGTAAAGGTAAAGGCCCTCCCGTTGATCGTCGATTTGCTCGAGCGGGCCCAGTAACGTCTCCATTGGAGACTTTGTTGTTACTGTGTCTGGCATATCGAATACTCTCGGTAGCTTGCCGGGCTCTCCGAAGGGGCGGAGGAATCGAACTCGGGTTGGCCATGTTGGCCGCTTGTAAGGCGAACGCCCTACCCGCTGTGCTATCGCTCCAGCCCATATATAATATATTATTTAATATATAATTGGGTTGGAGCGATAGCACAGTGGGTAGGGCATTTGCCTTGCACGTGGCCGACCCACGTTCAATTCCTCCATCCCTCCTGGAGAGCCCGGCAACCTACCAAGAGTGTCACGCCTGCACGAGAAAGCCTGGCAAGCTACCCGCTTATATGATATGCCAAAAACAATAATGACAAGTCTCACAATGGAGACATTACTGGTGCCCGCTCAAGCAAATCAATGAACAATGGAAGGACAGTGCTACAGTGCTACAGTGCTACAGTGCTATGTATTATATATATGTAATTATATATATATATATATATATATATATAATGTCTTCCTTTGTTGGGGCAGAGAACCAATTACACTCAACCACAGGTTATTTCTATTTCAGATATAACAATATGTTTAAAGTATTTAAAAGCTAGAACTGTGATTTAATCACTTTATCTTAAACCCTTAGTTCATAGACCAAGTTCAGAAGTATTTATGAAATATTATCAATTCAGTGGAAAAAACAAGTGCAGGCTCAACATTTTCATGTGACTTTAAAATTGTTAAAAATAAAATCCAACTGTCTTAATATTTTCAAAAAGGAGTCTGGTTTGCTTCACATTTTCTAGAATAATTTGATTTTTAAAATAAATAGAATCCAGACACTGATAACACAAACAAGGATTTTAACTTATCCAGACATGCTGGGTCAGTCATGGCTATTGAAGGGAGCCACCAGCATGCCCGATATCCAGCTATTGTGTCGTCCGTCTGGTTGAGACACATATGTCTGCTTCCATCACTTCCCGTGATCTCATTACAGTTATTTTGACTCAATTATGTAGCTCCCCTTGTTTTAATTTTTGATTTGTTCATTGAAGACATTTTCCTTTTGCAATACATCAGATAGATAAATACTTGAAAGGTATGATTATATGTCTGAAACAAAATATTTATCATAATTTGTTTTTACTTAAATGTTATATTTGTAGATAAAAATAAGCATCTCTACCTTCTCATAGTCTTTGAGTGTAACAGTTGGTGATGATTTTAGTTTAGAGCGGTGGTTTTCAAACATTCAGTACGCAATAGAATAACTGGAAAGGCATTCTGCATATTGATGACTATCACTTCCAAAACTTTTGACTCATCACTTCTAAGGTAGGGAGTAGGAATTTACATATATAAAAAGTTTTGGGGTGTTGATGATTTGGAAAGAAGGCCATTCTTGAAAAGTAACTCTGAATAATAAGCAAAATGAGGTAGTTTTTTGTCATTTCTTTAGTTTCTATAAGGAGGACACACTACAGATAGTCATAGTGGTTTAAAATCTGAATAAACACAAGTTTTGGTAACCCAGAAGTACTCAAGAAAAAGGGAGTCACTTTTAGTCATATTTTTCTTTACTCCAATAGGATAAATAATAATTTTCAGAGAATGTGTTCAAGTGACTATATAAAGAAAACAGGCTCATAGTTTTAGCCATACTTGCTTATTTAGATAATCGATCTCATTATGGAGTTAAAGTTGAGAGAAGAAAATCATGTGATTGTGCTATTGATAACTCAGTCATGATAATATTCTATACACAAGATACTGAGTGGGGGCTTTCTTATTTTCTAATGAACAATATGTTAGCTTCTAAACATCAGAGGCAAATATAAGATTTCAGAGATTGGGCATATTGTTTTAATATAACTCTAACATCAATAGCACCAGCAGTCATATTTTCTCCGTAATATATGAGGTGTCTGCCAAACAATCCACATTAACTGTAATTGGTCTTATGAGTTGATTTCCCTCATGAATAATAATTCTATAAATCTCCCTCTTAGTCACAATGTATATATTATTTTAAGCACATTCAGTTTCAAAAGTCCAAGATCCAGAGATAAAGTTTAAATAAGAAAGGTATTCAATGTCTTAAATTTGCAAGCGTTCATTAAAGATCAAGATAAAACTAACTGAAAGATTAATATGAGACATTAACTGAACTAGAGTATACATATACAGGTTTATCTACATAACTACCTGTTAAAATATCTTGTGTGTGTGTGAATCCAGTTTTTCTGTCAAATTTGTGCTAATGCATATGACACTGTCACTGTTACTGCCCTACCATTGTTCATCAATTTTCTCAAGTGGGGCCAGTAATGTCTCCATTGTGAGATTTGTTGCTACTGTGTTTGGCATATCGAATACGTCACGGGGAGCTTGCCAGGCTTTGCCCTGCAGGCGAAATACTCTCGGTAGCTTGCTGGGCTCTCCGAGAAGGGCCGAGGAATCAAACTTAGGCCGACCAAGTCGGCCACATGCAAGGCAAAATCCCTACCCGCTGTGCTATCACTCCAGCACATGACACACATTTTTATATGTAAGCCATATTGTTTTCACCTTAAGAAATCAAAACCATTTCTCTTGGGTATATACTACTACTATCATATTTGTAAATTATTCATTTATTCCATTGGAGACTTTGTTGTTACTGTGTCTGGCATATCGAATACTCTCGTTGTGAGCGATAGCACAGCGGGTAGGACGTTCGCCTTACAAACAGCTAACATGGCCGACTCGAGTTCGATTCCTCCGCCCCTCTCGGAGAGCCTGGCAAGCTACCGAGAGTATTCGATATGCCAGACACAGTAACAACAAAGTCTCCAATGGAGACGTTACTGGGCCCGCTCGAGCAAATCGACGATCAACGGGAGGGCCTTTACCTTACCATTTATTCCAGTCTGCTATCAAGTTTAATATGATTTAGTAGATGTGACTGCATTAATATTTCATTAATTTTAAATACATAAAACATGAAATAATTTACAACATGTGATAAGTTATTAATACTTTTATTTTCTTACTTAAAAACTTTTGGGTTGGAACGATAGCACAGCGGCCAATATGGCTGACCCGAGTACGATTTCTCCGCCCCTCTCGGAGAGCCTGGCAAGCTACCGAGAGTATCTCGCCCGCATGGCAGAGCCTGGCAAGCTACTCATGACGTATTCGATATGCCAGACACAGTAACAAGAAGTCTCATGATGGAGATGTTACTGGGTCCGCTTGAGCAAATCAATGAACAACGGGAGGACCGTGACTTAAAAACTTTTATGTGTTGCCTCATTTATTTATTTATTTATTTGCTTTTTTGGGTCACACCCAGCAATGCACAGAGTTTACACCTGGCTCTGCACTCAGGAGTTACTCCTGGTGGTGCTCAAGAGATCATATGGGATTCTGGGAATCGAACCTGGGTCGGCCGCATGCAAGGCAAATGCCCTACCCTCTGTGTTATCTCTCCAGCCCCAATATGTTGCCTCATTTAAACCTCTTCATATAACCAAAGTGAGTTGCCAAAAATTCTCACCAATTGTTGAAGTCAAGAGTAATTTAAACACAAAACTTATGTTCTTTATAACTACTTCATCTGTCACTGTCCTCCCGTTGTTCATCGATTTGCTCGAGCAGGCCCAGTAACGTCTCCAGTGTGAGACTTTGTTGTTACTGTGTTAGGCATATCAAATAGGTCACGGGTAGCTTGCCAGGCTTTGCCATGCAGGTGAGATACTCTCGGTTGCTTGCCGGACTCTCCGAGAAGGTAGAGGAATCGAACTCCAGTTGGCCATGTTGGCTGCGTGCAAGGCAAACACCCTACCCGCTGTGCTATCGCTCCAGCCCTCATGCTGCTCCTAAAAATTAATATTAATTCTAAAATATAACATAATGTGCTTTTTATTTGCTTAGTGTAAATTTTATGAAGCTAATAGATAGCTCTGTTATTTCTTGGTGGTGAGTTGTTTTGTCTTCAATACATTTGTAATTGTTTTCTTTAATGGTCACATAGGTTAAAGCTATTGAGGAATCAAACAGTAAATTCAAACATGTAGTGAGTTTTTTATGACATCTCTAAAATGAAATGTAAAAGGTAATAGAAATATCCTAGGACAGGAAATAAAGAATGAGGTGGTTCTGATCTATTAAGTCTCTTATTTACCTTCCTACGAGTGGTTAACTGTACACTGATACAAACTAAACTTTCAAATTTGTTTTCATCCAGAAATTATTTCTTGTAATTAGACAATTAAAACTTACCCTAAATAATTGCTTAAAAATAAAGGACTAATAAGTCAATTGGCCCTGAGATCCATTTCTGTATTTGTTTTAACTTACACAGTATTTTAGATAATTGGGGGTTTGAGGAGAAATGTTTTAAGCAAAATTGTGGAACTCCAGCTCACATGCAAACCCACTGCTATATGTCTTACCTTACTGTCTCCACAGTCATACCTTTTCCTTAGACTTTATAGCTAACATTTGTAGAAATCCAGGTTTTTAAATTTTTCTTAGGACCAAAATGATAGATCAAAGGACTGGAGGGCAAATTGGGCATTTAAAAGGTCCAAATTCAATATGGACCTGGTATTGTATGGCCCCTTGAACATCAGTGGGAGTGTCATTGGTGGCTCCAAGCATTGCTGCCCTTTAGTGGAACAATATTGCCAGGCCCAAGCATTGGACCACCAATGGGCACAATTGGGCCAACTATTACCAAGTGAACTCCAGACTCCTGATAATATCTTGAGTGGACCCCACAATTTTTTCCCTGATGCTCAGGCCTACATAGTGTTTCTATATATTGCAAATAGACTGAAACTACCCCCCACAAAAAGCCACAGTATTGTAAAAATAGAGATAAAGTGATGATTGAGTCTTAGCCATTGTTAACTAGGTGATGAAATCATCCGTAGCAGTACTTTCTGGAACTGCAGCACTAAGTCGTTTTAAATACTTACCTTACAAGAATCTATTCCTCCTTCTTCATAGCCTGCGCATACCATATTTTCTGTAATGTTATATTCTGGCATCTGTTGTTTGCATTTTTCATTTGATAGAAGAGGAACATTAGCTTCTTGCAATATGCTTGCTGTAGGACCTGTTCAAATAGATAAAACAGCCAGACAGTCAGAAGTGATCAACATGCATCATTGAATGAGCCACCATTAGTCTTACTTATTCCAGCAGTTCCCCCTCATTATCCAGTACTGTGTGTGTATATAATGGAACTAAATACTAAACTTTCTATGTTGAAGCACATAATAAAACCCATCTGTGGATTTTGCTAAATGATAACTCTAAAGTACATTTTTAGTTCCCAAGGGCTAGTAGGAATGGTAGATTGGACTTGATAGTTTTTAGACATTTTCAGTAATTGACACATTTATATTATTGCTCATGGGGAGAAATGTAAAAAGCCCATCAAACAAAGAGTTTCATTCATGGAAATTTGCAACAGCTCCAAAATCCAAAAGTGCCTTTCATTTGACACCTGAAGAGGTGCTGCCTTATAATGGCATTCAGCTCCTTTGTGATGTGTGAGTGAGCAGGTGCACATTTAGCAGAAGATAAAGCTCAGATGAACTGTGCCCTGGTCTGAAGACAATCAGCCTGTCATCCACGTGCAGGAGAAGAGAAAGGAGACATTTTGTAGCAGAGTGCACTTCCATCCTTTTTACAAGATGAATCATCTCCTGGAAGTCTGAATTTCTGTTTACTGAAATACTAATCCCAAGAAGGAGGCAAAACCAGCAGGTGTCTGGGACCCCAGAAAAGATAACTGATAAGCACTTTGTAGTAATTAGCAGTGACATTGGCTTTTAAGTGAACAGAAAGTTGATCCATATACTAAAAGCATTGATGAAACAAATACGAGTGTGATGGCGTGGATACGTGTGTGTCAGACTTAGGTGCAAGACAGAACGCGACTGACTCTGCACTGTTCTAGTAAATGTTTAGTAACCTACTCTTCAGGTAATAAAAGCTCATGTAAGTATTATATGCTGATTCACTGGGGAGGGGGAGGGCGTAAATACTTCCCATGGCTAATTCTCAGGTATCAGTCTCGTAATTATGCGACTTTGGGAGAATACTCCACTATAGCACTGTCCTCCTGTTGTTCATTGATTTGCTTGAGCGGGCACCAGTGATGTCTCTTTTGTGAGACTTGCTGTTACTGTTTTTGGCATATTGAATACGCCATAGGTAGCTTGCCAGGCTTTGCCAGCGGGCGGGATACTTTTAGTAGTTTGTTGGGCTCTCGAGAGGGACGCAGAAATTGGGAGAATACATAAATGTATTATCATGTGAACTATCAAAGTCCTACAGTGATGCCTTGGATATAGCTGGCAGTAGATTATGTAGCATAGTGAAGTCCTGGTTTTGATCCTGAGCACTACAAATAAAGTTTGACAATAGAATTTGAGTTAAGAAAATGATTTGGAGGACAGGAGAGATAAGACAGTCAATAAGGGCTTGCCTTGCATGCACCCTATCAGATCTACATTTGATATCTGTCACCCCATGTGGTGCACTGAGCCTGGCCAGGAGTTCTTGAGCACAGAGCCAGGAATAAGCTCTGTACATGGTTGGGTTTGGCTCCCCAAAACCAAACTGATAAAATAAATTAGAGGGATGAAAAATAAGAGAAAATTCACCTTTTTCTTTTCCCCTAATCAGAATCTGTTAATTTGTAAGGTCAGATCCTTCTAGGACACTGAAATTGTATTGTAAGTTAATATTGCCTTTCTCCTCTCCTTCTGTCTTTTGAATAGTTTACTTTAAAGCAATGTCCCTTTTTGTATAGATACAGGAAGACCATTAATATTATGCATTGTAACTTAGGATTTAATTGGCTTTGAATATTATTCACTCCCGGGCATCTGTTTTCTCAACTTAAGACTCAGTTGCCCTTAGTTCCTAGCACCCCCAAAGCAGGGTCCTGATGAGGGACTGAATGGACCCAGGGCAAGCGGTGAGCTAACCTGGCATTGAAATGGGCCAGGCCAACGTGCCACGATTCTTAACTATAAGTTAAGAGCTTAATCATAGACAAATGCTGTCATGATCCAAAAGTAACAATGAGACTAGGACCCTGTTAGGGATAGGAAAGACTATCTGGCCTGAGCACTGTACTCTGAGATTGAGATGGCCCTAGGAGAGCAATCTATAAACTTAAGGTATTTCTTACTGTATTCATACAAAATGATTTATATTATATATGCTTACATGTTTACTGGACAAGGAAAGGAGAAACATACCCAGGGGATTCCGTTATAGGGTGAGTCGATCTGATAATGAAAATCTGTCCTAGAAGCAGCTTTCCCCAAGGGAAAGAATTCTACCCCTATTGATTATGACCACGCCTAAGTGTAATTGTTACCCCAATCCCTCATGCTGGGGGTTATAATGAGACTGTAAGAATGGGCCAGGGAAGGCAGAGGAGAGAGATAGGAATGAATGGAGAGAGAATTGGAATAAACTGCAACTAAGACCAACCAGCCTGGCTCTCGTTTCCTTCCTTTGCCTGCCCATCGCCATCGACCTCCCTAGGGTGGGGGAACCTGTGTGAGACCACCAAACACGGGCAGCAGGAGAGATAGACCACCACCGCCTCTGCTGTCTTTTTTTTTTTTTTTTGGCTTTTATTGGGTCACACCTGGTGATGCACAGGGGTTACTCCTGGCTTTGCACTCAGGAGTTACTCCTGACGGTGCTCAGGGGACAATATGGGATGCTGGGAATCAAACCCAGGTGGGCCACGTGCAAGGTAAACACCCTCCCCGCTGTGCTATTGCTCCAGCCCACTGCTGTCTTTTTTGAGTTTACACAATCATCATCTCACATTCTTCCAGAATGTGCTGTAGACTCATTTTATAATAAAATTCAAAGCCAATTTGAATGTTTTCTAAGAAATGCAAAATCAGTTCTGCATATTATAAAACCTTGGTAAAAATATTTTCTGGCAGCATCCTTATATTTAATATTCATTAGCCACCATGAGTATACTCGAGAAGATTATACTCATAATGAAATAATATTAATAATAAAGTGAAATTTTATTTTTGGTGAGTTAATAATGGGCTGCAAGACACATCATATGACACTTCCTACCCATTTTCCATAATTAGCACACCATGTTTGATGGGGTTCAGAGAGTAGGCAACAAATCATAGAGAGAAATATATATATATATATATATATATATATATATATATATGAGCCTGGCTACTGGCTAGACACTGAGAGTATCCTGCCCACACAGGCAGAGCGGGCAAGCTTTCCGTGCCATATTCGATATGCCTATACCAGTAACTATAACAGGTCTCATTCCCCTCACCTGAAAGAGCCTCCAATAGGCCAGTACTGGGAAAGGCGAGTAAGGAGAGACTGCTGTAATCTCAGGGCTGGAATGAATGAAATGTTACCAGCACCCGCTCAAGTAAATCAACAAACAACATGATGACAGAACAACGGGATGATAGTGATACAGTGAATATTGGGCCACCCCCAGCAATGTTCAGAGCTTACTCCTGGTTCTGATTTGCCACATGCAAGGCAAGTTCCTTATCTAGTGTACTATTTCTCAAACCCCATCTGTAATTTTAAATTTTCCAATATATCGAATAATGTAGTTTTATTTCTTCTAGCAAATAACATGTTCCAATGTTTCTAGCTAACTAATTATTAGTCTAGTAAACTCAAAGAGATATGTAGTTCTGGGATTAAATAATTTTAAGTAACTGGAAATCATAAAAAAAGTTTATATAATTTTATTAAGATTGCCATCATCCAGAAGTTATTTAGACATAACCTAGTGTTTTATTTCTAAATAAAATTGATCTGAGACTTTGGTTCTTGGCTCCATATCACTTTTACAGACTTTTCTAAAATCAATTAAAGGGACATAGTTACTAACAATAAGTCAATGAGGGCCAAATTTGCTCAGTTCTTAAAAAAAATTCTTAAGGAATAAGGAGTCTTAAACTTTGTTTGTAGATAATTTGTTGTTGAAGAGACTACAATGTAGTCATAAATGTCTTTTAGTTTGATGTCTCAGAGAAGAAAAATCTATCTGGGAATCCTATTTTATTTTAGACTTCAGATTTAATAAATCTTGACATTTTTCAAATGGAGAAAATAAAAATATGCAGTCTGACTTGAATACACTTTATGGTTAGCAGGCATGAAGCATTTTCAGCAACTTAATGTAATTGCAATAAGGAATCTTTGTTGGTTTGATCAGGCAATAATTTGACTGTGAACTTGATGCTTTCTTTTGGAAGATGTAGGACATTTTAACTGAGTGTTTTGCTTCTGAGATATGTACCTCTAAGCAAGACTTTGTGCTTTTTATTTTTTATCTTAAATACAATTAATAATTTTTATTTCCATGGCTATAATTTGTTGTGACTTCAGAGGCCAGGATAGCCCACAAGTTTATAGTTTCTTTTTCTTTTGATTAACTGTTAATGAATGGTCAAAAATTTGCCCAAGATGAGCTAACTCATTAATATTTCCATCCCCATGAGCCTTGTGATTGTATTATGAGTGCATTAAGCACTAGAAAGCATTTTAAAAATAACATTTATAAGTATTAATATGCATCTTTTCAAACTTTGGAAAATGTGGTTATCAAATATTGTCAATAAGTATACAGTAAAACAATTTGTAGTCTACAAGGTAAAATTTGTGCCATACATGCATATTCTTTTCAGAAGTAAATCAGTACATAGAAGATGCAAGAAATTTCTCATGGAAGAAGATATAAACTTGAGAGCTTTACTTGATAGATTAATATAATTTTGATTTAGAAAACATAACAGTAATAATTTAGCTTTCGATAAGACTTCTTTGGGGGAGATGTAAGGCTCACATCTTGTGAACAGAGCTCACTCTCTTGGCTCTGTGCTCAGGGATTACTCCTGGTGGTAGAGAGATGCATATTTTGTGCCAAGAATTGAGCCCTGTTAGCAAGTAAAAGGCAAGCACCCTACCTACTGCACTATCTCTCTGGTCTCAAAAATTATTCTGAAAAAAATTTTATGCATACTCTTTACAAAAAATGTTTTTTATATGTTGGTTATGTTCATTTTAGTACATGTTCTTTTTAGTACACTTGTGTCTATCAGCATATTGTTAATACTAAAACGCATATTTAATTTCAAGGATATTTGAGTTTCCTTGTAAATTTTATACTTTGTTAATGTGTTCAACATAATTTGTAAAAATACTTTATACAAATATACAAGAAAATCCTTTTAGAGCTAATGCATAAATTTACTGTAGCCTAAAAGTTGTAGAACATGTTATAATATTTAAAAAATAAGGAAACTACATGCTTTTTAATTATCATTTTCTTTGTATAGTGTATGAAAATTTACCTTGATGCATAAGCATACCCCAGCCAGCAATAGAGCAATTTATTCCTGGTAGAAAAACTTGATTTTTGTCTGGCAAACAAATAGGTTGTATGTAGTCTGGGAAGAAGAACAAACACACATTCAATTAAATTTTAAAAATCTAAACACATTTTTAAAACCAATAATTTTCAACATATTAAAGCTTATTTTTCTTGATTCTGCTAAATAATTTCTTCCACATAAATCCCTGGAGAAAGAACATTTCAGAGCAATGATCTTTGACAACGGATCCCATGGTCTCTTTGGACTTTCTATGTCATCTAATTATTTTACAGTGAAAACAATGTCTTAGTTTTGAAGCCAACCAACTGTACTTTATTTTAAAATAATATTGCCACTTAACAGAACATGCCTCTAATCCTATGAAAATCTTGATATAGTTTGTTTCCAGGATCAATTAAGAGAAACTTAGGCAAGTGTTCTGAGGCTTTTTGATGTTTTCCTAATTACTTTCATATTAAAAAGCTTTTAGGGATTGTTTATACAGGCTACTTAAGGAAGTATTTATATTGGTCATTGACTATTAAAGTTTCCCTAACAATTAGCGAAACATTTGGCACTTATTAGACATCAACTACATGTAAGATACTAGGTATATGCAAAAAGGAAAACTATCCATTGTTGGATCCCAGAAAGAAGGTGATCCAAGAACAACTGTACCTCTCTGACAAATACCTCAATACTTGTATAATCTAAACTCCACTGGTGCACAAGAATGGCAGTGCTTTCTCCTAATTGGAGATTGAAAACAACTTCAGAGCAAGGCTGTAGTTTCTCAGAGCTCTTCAGGATGAAGTTCACTGCCCTGTGATACTTTTGGCATATGACCAACGATTTTGAAGGAAGTTCTCTATCTGCCATTCTATTAATGTTATTGAAATCCTTAAAGCTTCGCTCGTGACCAGAGATATAGTTCAACTGGCAAGGGGCTTGCCTCACACATAGTGGACCCAATTTGATCAAAGGCACCACATCAGGTACCCACTAGGAGTGATCCCTGACACAGAGCAAGAAGCAAGACTTGAGTACTGCTCGATATGACCTCAACGACAAAATACAAAATCTTTGTTTTATGGATAATTAATTATTCTTCACTTTACTCTTAAAAATATTTTCTTCTTTCAGTTAGTCCTACTCAAGACTTTTGTGGCAGATGGGTCTGCCTTTTTTTACATTCAAAATCAAAAGGCCATACATTATAATATGACCTATTTCCCTCCTGGCTTCTTCTTTGAATTTACTATAAATTTACTGAGGACTGAGAGAGTTTTATTCTCCTGGCCCATTTTTTGAAAATCAGATTTAAATAGCTTCATGAAGGTAATTTTCTACATTTCTCTCTATTACCTATTCAGTTTATTTAAGTTAGAATGACTTCTATAACAAATTATCCGACTCTTAAGGATAGAGCATTGATATTGACACTATATAACATGTATTCTGAATTAATTTAAGTAGGTGATATGACTAAAAGTGATATTTCTTACCTGTATAATCCACTTTAAATTCAAGGTGCATCATGGCAATGTCACTGTCCTTTGTTCTTTTATTATAGTGTGGATTGATTACAATTTGATCTATCCTCTGAGTTACTATTTGAGGAGAAGTCATATTTGTTGTCTTATGTAGCCCCAGGACTGCCTTCCAATTAGTTGGGTTTAAATTTCTCCTGGAGATAATATAAAATAAGTATAAGATACTCTCCATATACCTGGGTTTCTTTCTAGAGATCTTTCTGTCAAAACAATTCTTTCCATACCAAATTTAATTGAAGATTATTCTTTCAAAATATCAGTAAATCAGGGGCCACAAAGCTAGTATAGTGGGTATGGCACTTTCCTTGGACGTAGCCAACCCAGGTTCAGTTCCTGATACTCAGTATGGTACCCTGAGCTCTGCCAGGAAGATCGAATAATGTATAACCCAGAATAAACACTGAACAATGCTGGGTGTAGCCTCCAAACAAACTAAAACACATGCACACATACACAATCCTCAGGGTATAGTCTCTGGGCAGCTAGAGAAGCCCTGATGGCTCTCCCCCTCACCTCCTGGGTTGTGGTGGTTGAAGTGGGGTGATCTTGACTGCTTACTCAGCTTAGACTGATGTAGGCAGGTAGATAGGGAAAGGCCCTTTGCAATGAAACAAAGTTTCATGGAGGAAGAATTCTAGGAATGACCCACCTTGTGGATACAGAAAACAAAGGCCTGATAAGACCATCCGCAGACCCTCAGGATATAGGCCTCCCCATGAAATTCCTCTTTTTGGACCTCCCTGGTAACCTCGTTAGCAACGGACTTTTACTTGGGAAGAAGCCCCATGTGGGGGCAGGTTGGAGAAACCCTATAAAGACCACCTGGAACAAAGGAAGGGCACGCATATGCTGCCTGAGCCCATGTGCTGCTTGCGCCCATGTGGCCGAGCACATGTGGTGCCCGAGCACATGTGTCGCCCGCATCTCCCCTCTTGAGATGTGTACTTTCATGCTTTTGTACCCAACTTTCTCTCTCTCTCTCTCTCTCTCTCTCTCTCTCTCCCTCCCCCCTCCCCTCTGCACCTAAAAATCCTCCAAATAAAATCTATTTACTTCACTGCTTGTCTACTCTTGAAATTCCTTTCTAAGAGGCGAGACAAGAACCCAGTAACCCTGGGTCCTGGGTGGCAGAGGCGGGTGGGGAGAAAGTGACCGTCTTTCTCCTCCCTGCTTTACATAAGTCACCAGTGGGGCCCACCGACATCAAGACAACCCTTGCCATGGGGCAGATGGAGGAGAAAGAGAGGGCAAAGCCAATTGATTGATCAGGTGCTGTTTATTCCGTTCTCCCCCACGCGCCTCTTCCAGTCTCTCTGAGTCCCCCATTCTAGTCTCACACTGCCCCTCATTCCCAACTCTTCCTGTCTCTCCCCCTCATCTCTCCGCACCTCATCTTGCTGTTCTGCCTTCTCTCTCCTCTCCAATTCTCTACCCAGCTCCCAGCACTCTGGGCCAACACTGCACCCAGTCCTGTAGCAAAATCAACATAAGAAAGCTCTTCCTGATGATCCATGAGGCTCAATCACAGAAACACCACCTAGTGGTATTTCTCTTCTCCTTATTCCAATAACTTAATTAACATCATAATTAACATCTTAATTCTACTTCTTGGGCTGGAGCAATAGCACAGTGGGAGGGCATTTGCCTTGCTCAGACAACCCAGCCAAGCCAGGTTAGATTCCTCTTCCCCTCTAGGAGAGCCTGGCAAGCTACCGAGAGTATCTCTCTCACACAGGCAAAGCCTGGCAAGCTATCCCTGAGGTATTCAATATGCCAAACACAGTAACATCAAGTCTCAAAAATTGGAGACGTTACTGGGCCCACTCGAACAAATCGATGAACAACAGGAGGACAGTGACAGTGTATGGACACAGAGACACATTGAGCTTGTAGGGTGGCTCTCTTTGGGAACATCTTGTCACAGACTCAGACTACAGAACTCAGGCCAGATTAATCATCCCTAAAGCTAGCAGGGTCTGAATCTAGTTATTACTTTATGGATGATGACAGAATTTGTCCATGACCATGCTCTTAACTTAGAGTTAAGCAGTATGGTACTTTGGCTAGGCCTATTTCGATGCAAAGCTAGCATATAGCTCACTGTTTGCCCTGGTTCCATCCAGTCCCTCGTCGGGATCCTGCTTTTGGGGTGCTAGGAAGTAAGGGAAACTGAGGCTTAAGTCGAGAGAACAAAAGTCCAAGAGGTAAATATTATTCAGAGTCAGTTGACTCCTAAGTTTCCAAAGCATAGCATTAACTGTCTTGTGTCCATACAAAAAGGACATAGCTCTGAACTAACTATTCAAAGGACTTAAGGAGAAGAGATAAGCAATATTTACAAATCAACAGATCAAAAAGAAAGAATTTACAAATAACACAAAGGAATGGGAGCACTGTTTATGGGAGCACCCCATAAACTTAAAGATCCTTGTGGCAAGGCAGAAAGGACAAACCAATGCTACCCTACACCTCAGGACATGGGTTAAAGTTCACTTTACAATGATGCAGACCTAGGGTTCTGCATACTCTCTCTCTCTCCTTCCTTCCTTCCTTCCTTCCTTCCTTCCTTCCTTCCTTCCTTCCTTCCTTCCTTCCTTCCTTCCTCCTTTCCTTCCCTCCTTCCTTCCTTCTTCCCCTTTTTTCCTTCTTCTGTTTTTTTCTGGGCCTTCACACGCTTGCTCAGGAGGTCCTGGGTCTCCTTGGTAATTCTCTCTCAACCATGCTGGCGTTTCAAAGTACATTCTCGAGGATTTGGTACTGCTCGGGTGAGAAAGGTCAGGAATGATCTTGTGTCTTTAGAGTTGTACCCAGAAATAGTTGGGAGATCATGTTGTGCTGTTGATTGAACTCATGTGGGTTGCATGGTAGAGGCATGCCCAAAGAGCTGTATTATCTCCTGTCACTCCCTTCCTTTTTGAAAATTTGTGAGAAAGACATCATAACCTCAAAGGTACCATTTCCCCATTATAGAGTGGTACCTTCTAGATCTTCAAATTGTCCTGTGCCTCCACTGCCTCCACAGATCTTGCTCAAAATTTGATCTCTGTAGTAGGTTAGCAAAAGCTCTACCTCTGAAGACAACTTTCTGACCTAGTGCCATGGTGCTGTTGATAGCCTTTGCTTGTCCAGGGTCCTTCCTGCTCTTTTATCTCCAGATTGGAGGAATTAGCACATTGGACAAGATGGATATAATGACAATCTGTCTAGACTTTATTCCTACTCTACCCCAGGTGCTCCCTCCCTACCGTGGTCCCCTCAAGGAGAGGAAGATAGTGAGATCTCTTTCCTAAAGTCCCACCTTTCAATTTCTTTCTCTCTCACATGCTTCCCAAGGTCATGGTTACTACTAGATCTCTGCTCCTTTTATGACTGAACACTAACAGATACACTTCTCTCTTAGTAAGAACCCTATACATTTCCACTCAATATTTAGTGAATTTATTTGCTTCAGTGTAAGAAGAATAGTTTTATAATTGCTATACTGTATATTTTCTTCTTTGGACTTAGTTGCTTTTAATTTTGCTTATTACAGTTTGCAAGATAGCAATTACCTTTAACATATTATATGATATAAATTATAATTCATTGCAATATTAATGCATTTCTTAATGTGTATATTATTGATATGTACATAAACTCTCTAAATAGTGTTAATTACATGACTTGACTAGCATTTGAATAATAATCACTAAATTTGCTCTACTTAGTATGAGTCCATTCTATAGATTCAATTTTGAAATTAATAGAAAACATTTAATTGGAAAATAATAGACTTGTCTCCCTTAATGCCTTCTGAATATTTTAATTTTCAGAAAAATTACTTGAAGTTGAGAAAGTTATATAGAGTACATTTGCTTTGGATTTAAATCAATGATAAAATATGCTATTTTAAAAAATTAAGTATACTTCCAAAGACATGTCTTTTCTTTAAATACTGTACTGAATCTTCAAACTCCAAATATAATTACTGATATAAAAGAACTCAGAGGTAGAAAACTTTAGTAATCACCACTTCTTCTCATTATTTTAAGATTATTGGTAAAAAAAATACATGAACTACAAACTATAAAGATTAAGTAAACATTATTTAATCCTCAGGTTTAATTAAATATAACATACAGCAATGCCAATGTGGTACATTATAGATTATACCAAACTGTGATTATGTTATACAAAAAATAGTCCTTTTCTGATTTTACTTTTCTTAAATCTGTAGGTAGCACTATAAGGAAGAAAATATTTCTCCAACATATGGCACTTTTCTCTTTTTCAGTCTTGTTCCATAATATTTACTGTACCTGTGTAATTTGCTGCCAAGCACAAGCAAAACACTAGCCCGGGGTGCCTAGAGCTGCTACATTCTACTTTAACTTCAGCTTACTCTCTCAGAAGGAAAAAGACTTGTAGCCCAGAAATAACAGAAGAAGTGGTGGAGGGTCATGGACAATCAAAATGGTGATGTGCTATAAAGTTAAACATACTATTACTTAAACATATTCACTGTAGCACTGTCCTCCCGTTGTTCATTGATTTGCTCAAGCGGGCACCAGTGATGTCTCCATTGTGAGACTTGTTACTGTGTTTGCCATATTGAATACGTCATGGGTAGCTTGCTAGGCTTTGCCGTGTGGGTGAGATACTCCCGCTAGCTTGCCGGGCCCTCTGAGAGGGGCGGTGGAATCAAACCTGGGCTGACCAGGTCAGCCACATGCAAGGCAATCGCCCCACCCACCGTGCCATCGCTCCAGCTATCACTCCCCAGCATCTCCAAATTAGCTATTTCATAACTTCTGTACAAAACAAATTATTTAGCATCTGCCTGTTAGGCAGACTTTAGTGGATGCAGGAAACTTCAAAATAATAGTGGTGGCAAGGTGTAATGATGGTGGGATTGGTGTTAAAATTTTTAATGTAATCAATTCCAGTAATTGATTACATTAAACATATTACTTAAACTATAATAAGAAAATGTTTTGTGGGAAAAAAACAGAAAAAAGACTCATGAGTGCAGAAGAAAGTCTCAAATTTTATAAATCACACGAGAAATTTTCTGAAAATTCTTTTTCTTTTTTTGTGAGTTAAAATAGTTTTCAATTAAACAAAAATTACTTAGAAATGTGAGGAGAGAAAAAGG